CCATGGATATGAAGTGTATGTCAAGCCCGCTTTTCTACATATGTTATTCTGTTTTCTTTTTTTTTTTTTTAAGCAGACCCACAGTTGGAAGCCTTCTAGATATAGCAGACAGCTGTACTGTTGATGCATTATAAATGTATATATTTATCACCAGCTCTAATATAAAAATCTAGTGCTGAAAGCATTGAGGCCCTTGGTCTCGCGCACAAGGCCTCTAAACCGTCATCCTCTGATTGTGCTGGAGCCTGTGCCTTTGAATTCATTGCAACCAAACCACGCTTAATTTGCCTCCTCCCTTGAGAACCATTAGCGTCTGTGTCATCAAACTGGCGGAGCGGCGAAAGACGAGTGGCAGGTATGCTCCATCCATCTTCCCTCCCCACAGGGTGAGCTGGGGCTTCCTGTGCGCTGCCGATTTGAAGAGTGTTTGCCACACAAGAGCCCAGCGAGCCGGCTGGCTACATGCTGGCGCTGCCGCAGACACAGTTTGGCTAAATCTCTGAAGACTGCTATCAGCTGCTGCACTTCTTCAGTTAAGCCTGTTGGAGACAGAAAAAAGATTGTTTGATTTGAGGAGGCGATGTATGTATTGTTCCCATCAGGTGGTGTTTAATCATTTAAAGCAATAGTTAAAGTAGCACAGGAAGGTACGGGATGAATTATGCAGCAAACATGTGGATGAGAAGCAGCCAGGAGTTTGGATGTTCTGTTTAGGAGCCCTGGGGGTCTTTGGAATATTATTTATTTATTTTTATTCAATATTATTTTATTAAGGGGGGTCTTTTACATGGATTCCATTGCCTTAGTAAGAAAAAATCAATGCATGTATTGGCTGGAAAATATTCTTAAAAATACAACTTCTTCTTCTTCTCCAGAGTCCAATAACTCTGTTTGAACATTGGTGTCCACGAAAGGCCTGTGTTTCTGGAGGCAGCAGCATTGGCTTATACAACTTCCTCTGTAAGAAACTCAGTTGAATTGATGCACTTGCGTCTACAACTTTAAGTTAATTAGACCTACAGACAGTATCACTGTTCAATGTATCATCATAGAACGGTATTTATGATCTACTATGAAAAAGTAAACACAACAGTTCATACGATATCCTATGAATTAGCACCCCACAAATGACATTACGTCCATTATGTACAGTTACGTAATTAACGTAAAGTTATGGAGGTAAGGATTGTTTCTGAAACTGTGCTAAAATGCTCCTGTGTATGGAATATTAAAATAAAAACATATTGGTGTAGATGTGGCCTTATTCTGGTCTATTCTTTTGTCTTGATGTTTCAGCCATAGAGAATGACTGAATATATATATATATATATATATATACCATTTCTTTCTTCAAAATTTGAGCTTGCCCAGTGTGCAAACCCTTCACATTAAGTAAGATTTTGTTGGTAGTCTTATTCTGGCTTTTGACTTTTTCACTTCACCTCAGCAATAAAGTAGTGGGCTTATTTATTGATTCTGGTGCCTACCAGATGGGAGACACACAGACACTGGCTGTTCACAGATATTAGGACCTTCACCCAGAATTTCTCAGAGCAAAGCAGTGTGACAGTCCTTTTCAACTGCGCAGGCCACCTTAAATTTGCAAGAGATGAGAGAAGAGCATGGACAGACACGGCGAACATCGAAACAGAACACCGTTTTGATTCAAGCTGGCAGGCAGAAAGCTTAAAACATCACTTTTTTACACAAATACCTTCCATCATTTATAATACAGAACCTTGAGTGCATGCTATCTAAAAATGACTCAGATTACTGGAAGACAAGGCCATTTGCCCCTGCATGGTGAGAAGCGGCTGCATTGTGACTCTTTGTCGAAAGATGCCATACAAAGTGCTGCTGTTGTGCTCAAACACTCCTGCTCATTATCTCACTCTAAATCTATCATTTTCTGTTCTTTTTTGAAAGGTTTTTTTAGATCAATTACTCGGCTTTGTAAGGAGAGAAATAGATGAAATATCTATTTCATGTGAAGGCCTTCCGGCAATGCACATTTGTGCAGAAAAGAGAAAGGACGAGAGATACCACAAATGTATCTAAATTTAGATTGCTCAAAGGAAAAGGCATAATTCTTTTAATTACGTCGGCACTAATCCATCGAATTGGCCCTCTTTGTTTTCTCCCACCTACCATGTTACAAGAGATATCCTTCATTGTCTCAAGGTGTGTTGACAGTGGCTCTTAATTCTGTAGCTATTCATGAGGGCACAATCTATCTGCTTCCTTTGCCTCTGGGAAACATACTTTCTGAAGGTTAATAAACAACCCTGCATATCCCAAGCCCTGAGATCATTTATCAGATTGCGATCTCTTACAGACTCTGAGAGTGGCATGCCGTTTTATCATTTTAACAACGACGGCTAAAAGTGCCTCAAGAAGTCTGCCTAATAGGTTATTTTGTTATATGATTTCGTTATCAGATATTTTTTCCCTTGCTAGTCTGGCCTAGGTCACTGTGTAGTAACAGCCCTGAATCCCTAATGAATACTCACATTAATGTCCCCGGAGCAGGCGAAGAAATAATAGGGTCCTCCCTGGGCAATAGTGCTGGCCATGTCCCATCTATTTCTATGGCACAAGCTGTGGCCCTGCTATTTTTTACTGTGCAACTGTAGCCCGCCTCTGTCCAGCCTATTTCTGTGTCTGATTCACAGAGCCTATCTGTCTCTGTAGCTCATGTTAGTGTGTTTACCTCAATCTCTTTGACAGCTGTCACTCTTAGAGGCACCAACAAGCAGCACAAGCAGGCGTTGTCTGGTAATTCTGTTCGGTGTGGTTCGGGTTATAATGGAATGTAAGGGTGGGATATGGTGGTGGGTGGAGTCAGGTTCACAGATTCTGGACTCAAAATGATGTGATGAAATAAATCTGTTTCATTCATTGGGAAATGGTTAATGGACCTGTATTTGTATAGCGCCTTTCTCGTCTTCCAACCATTCAAAGCGCTTTACCCTACACCACATTCACCCATTCACACACACACACACATTCCTATACTGGTGACTAAGGGCTCACTCATGCTCAACATTAGATACGCCTTCTGTCCATGGTCTACATGTATTTTGTATGTATTTGTCAGGTTTTCTGAAACCTTGCGGATACAGACAAAACGGAGCAGTACCACCAGAGATCGTCAAGGCAGTGTTATGTAGTCCAAGCAAGATACAACTGGACAACATTCTTACTCCAACGTTTGGTCGTGGACTTTCTATGTCCACATGACGTGCAAGGTTCCCTGGGTGCGTTGGTTGTTGATGCTCGAGGACACCGTGTCAACTTCAGACTGTTACATGCATTGTCTGTTTTCAATATACACTTCCATTTTCACAGGAAATTTACAGTTTGCATACAATCTCTTTCAAAATAAGCGCATTACGTCAGTACAATAATATAAATTGACTTTTTTGTCATTTAACAACAAGCATACATGGTTACATTTTTACTACGCATGCACATGGTTGGGTTCAGGCAACAAAAGTACAGGGTCTAGCCTTTTCGATCATACAGGAAGCAAACACCACCCTGCTGGGTGGAAGTTGGTGGTTGTTGGACCCATTGACCACCCCTCCCACCTACCCTACTGGAACTTTCATGGCCTTAAGTTTTGTTGTCCAGCTGCGTTTGCCCCTGATGCCGTCGGGTGCCATTAAACAATAGCGGTGACCACCTGTGTATCATGTCAACGTGAAATGACAGCTTTTTTTTGTAGGTGTCTAATGCCCGAAGTCACTGACCAAGCGCTGATTTTCGACGACTTTGGAGTGAGACCGGGTTGGACTGGAGGACACAATGAAGAAACTTGAATAATGTTGGAATGGAAGAAACTGGCAATAAAGTGAAAATAATTCAGAAAAACGGCCACCCAGGGAGCCTGTGAATGCAGTATTGACCTTGGCGGGCGGAGCTTTCAGCTCGAGTCCTCACTCATTTGTTCACCGTAGCCTTAACCTACAATAACAACAAGTGGGAAAAGTCTGGGATTTATGAGCGCTCGGATGTTTGACAGGCTGACCCTGTAAATACTGAAAACTAAAAAGAGTAGTTCAAAATGATTTGTTCTTTCATTTTTTGCTCATCACTAATGCCTAGGGATGAGTGAGTACACCATTATCTGTATGTGTATTTGTAGCTCTCCAACCAACTAAATTATCAGTATCCATATTTGTTCTTGGAAAGGTGGAATTTGGCCAAGAAGTGGGTGGGACTTGCACCAGAAATGGGTGGAGCCTAACCAGAAGTTGTAATTTAAAGCCTAAAAGTATGGGTTGATCAAAAGTTGCTATGTATATTATTTATTAGAAAACTATTTACAGAACAATCCCAGAATTGAGCTTCAGATCATTTCTGATCACAAGTAAGAGACTGAACACGACTAGGCAAATGAGGATTTTCCTTTGTCACAAGTACGGATATTGGCACATTTTACACGGATGATACTTGGTAGTCGTAAAAAGTACATTATGTCTACTGGATACTCTTTTCATCCGCATATTTGGCTCAACCCTACTAATGGCACTGCCATCAGGACCAATCCATGTTCACTATCTTGCCTAAGGACACTTTGACATGATGTCTTGGAAGAGAAAAAATTGTGTTTAACTGTTGTGTCCCCAAAACAAAAAGTTGACTCACATCTTTATCATTTATATTGGTTTTATTAAAACTATTGGGGGTGACAAATCCCCTGATACCTTTTAGTTTAAAGCTTTCCCCAGAGCATGTGTGACAGCCATGAGCTTTTTTTACTAAATGAAATATCATGCAATCAGCAGTCAGTGAAAAACCTGGGCAGTTTGGAGAAGATCTGTCAAACCAACACCAGAAATTGAAGTAAATAAGAAAAATAAGATGAAAATGAAATAATCAGGTAGAGATAAATACAGTGTTTTACTGTGTTGCCTGTGTGTGTCAAGACTTTTCTTTTGCGCACTGAGGCTTGAGGTAATGACTTACATCATGTGTCTTCTTTGTGTGTGTCTCAGGTTGTTTGGCGTAACGGGGAACTGCGCAGCCTGCAGCAAGCTAATTCCAGCCTTCGAGATGGTCATGAGGGCCAAGGAGAACGTCTACCACCTGGACTGCTTTGCGTGCCAGCTCTGCAATCAGAGGTGAGTGATTGGACCACACTCCTGCTCCTCTCCCATACCTGCATCTAGGCAGATGGCCGGTCGGGGAAGCGAGATTGCAGCGTAGTGAATCTCAAGCGCTGCTGAAAGTTGAAGAAAGATCCCACATCGTAGATTTATCACTCTAACCAGTGACCAAGTAGACATATCCGGGGCCTTAGGGACACCTGCTGGACCTAGCACAGTGATTAGAATCCTGCACTACTACTGTACAGTGTCAGCCTAGAGCTACAGGTGCAGTTACATGTCTGTACATATGCTTCCCATCAGTCTTCATTACCGGGCCTCCTCCTGCATCCTGGAGACAGGATGTGGTCAGAGATTTCAGGACACGGCTTCTTACCACAGCAGCAGAGAAGAGGGAGCTGTTTGAAGTCAGTGATAGAAAAACCCTTGTTTAATAAACTCCAGTGTCCCCCTCACTGAACCTCTCTGCTACCCCTTCAATGAGTTTATTATGTACACTGTTGCAATTTATAGCAATCCAGTACAGCAGCCCTGCAATATGTCCTATCTCTGTGAAGCCCGTACTATTAAGCTCATAGTTAGTGGTGGTGGATTGAATTGTAATATTACTTTTGTCCACCCTCATTTACCTACATCAAGGGAAACAATAAAACATGTTTCACTGCAACACACGGACATGTGCATGATTTTTTTTTTTTTTTATATCATTATGTATTTTTCTCTTAAATGTCCTGGTTGGAATGGCCAGTGCCCTCACAATGACATGTCCCTCACAGAGGGTCCCAACTGCCCCAACTGCCCCAAGTTGCTAATACAACAACGTGACAAAATCCCTCACCAACTCCACCCCCCCCCCCCCACAAACTTCATGACAGTGGTGTTTGATGGACCATTTGAACGGTGTTCTCTGTAGCGGTATGCAGTGTCTCTTTCCAATGAGCCCGTCATGAAAACCAGGTCTTAACGCCACAGTGTCTATATCTCTCTGAATAGCCACACCCAAGAGCCAAAAAGCCTACATTCATAGTGGCCGCATGCCACTGCCTTAAAGTCTCTTTTCACAAATTCTGGGTAATTTGCATGTGTTTTGTTATGAATAATTGTTCCAATGGAGATGACTGAGTGCACTTTTGGATAGTCTCCTATCGACAGCATTCATGGTAATACAAATAATTCTATATATAAAAAGTGACAGAATTAAGAGCACCCCAGTAGTTTACAAGGAAGAGCCAGGCCCTCTGAAATTCTGCTCAGTCTTGCTTCCAATTTTTCCTAGTGGCCACTTGCTGTATTGCAGCAGAAAAATCCTCTGTGGTCAAAAAAGCATTTTCCTTATAGGCTATCATTATAAAAGAGACATCTGTAAAATTGTGAACAAGAAACCTTGAACTGCAATTAAGGTCAATCATGAACCTTTCTATTATGAAAGTTTGATCCATGGAGTTTTATGTATTTGTAAAACATTTCATGACCTGAGAAAAGCGATTTAAAAATCTGTGATATTATCACAATGTAAAGTCTATGAGCTGAGTGGGAACTTGTGGGCAGGATAAGAGAGAGAAACACTACTTCACATATTCAGTGGGCCACTTATCATGGAAGTAAACCTGGAAGCTATTTTTTTATTTTTTTTGCATATGCGTTGGGTAAGCAACTTAATGGGAAGAGCGCATACCATAGAGTTCCCCAGGAGTGATGTTTTTTTCTGTAGGCTGACGGAAGTTAGCATCACCCTGGTGACCTCAAGTCAATGGGAATTTTCCATTGGATTTTGGATTATTGCAGAAAAAGCTCTGTCATTTTGTTGAGCAAAATAAAACCTAAATGCAATCATCAGAAGTAAAAAGCTAATGTTAGGCAATAAACAAACTACACCAAGGTTGCATGACTTACCGTCACCAACACAGCGAGGCTATAAAGCTGTGTTTAGTGTGATGGCGTTCTGTAGTCTCATTTAGCCACTCGTTAGCAACCGTCTTTATTAAGACACATAAAAGCTTCAAAATTCACAGTGGGTTATTTGCAGACGTATTTTATGTTGCAAAACAAATGTTAAAGTCTCTTCAGCTTGTGTTAACCACAGACCTTATTTCAGGCATCAAACCAAAACTCATGCAAAAAACCCATTGACTCATTTCTAGAGCACTCTATTAGCCCTTCCTAAGTCCCTTCCCGTTTTTGCTCTGTGCTGCTTGGAGCATAATCTCAGTCAACTTTCCTGTTATACCTTGATAGCATTAGGCTATGTGCTAGGCTCATCTGTGTGGAAACAAAATCTTCATGGACACATTACATTGTATATAGTCAAATCTTAAGTCAGCGAATGTTAGTGAAAGGCTACCTAACAAGCTAGCCAACATATTGCTGCATCAAGAGCCATTAGACTAATGTCAGCTCACCAGCTTCATCCAGGTTCCTTTTTATATCAGTTGTAATATTGAAGAGATTTAGAAAAGGACAGATGGGTTGGTTGCTGACATATTTAGCCAGTAAAGATAATGGCTAACGTTGCTTTGTTTATATTATCTCTTTAAGGCCACGTGCTGCCCTGAAGCAACTAATGTAACTTTCTTCAGTAAAGAGATTAATGTTAGGTCAGCACCATTGGTCTGTAGTCAGTACTATATGCAAAGAGTACTTTACTGATTCCTAGAAGAGGAAAGGGGGACACATTGACTAATAGTCTCATCATCCTCAGTCTCTATGTCTCTCTTTTTCGTTGAGACGCGAAGACTCGATCCGTGTTGTTTTGCCTTGTTCCTTCCATCTCATACTGTAGTCATTGCTGTCTGTTTCTTGAAGCTACATTGCACCCAGAAAAAAAATAATTGTGGTACCTGCCTAATTGACACTGCCATTCTCATGCATCTTTTTTGTAAAGCTTGTCCAACTTAGCAACAGTAACTAATAGAGGCAGGACATAGGATCTGTCAATTAAGGTTGGATCCTTACCAGAGTGGCCCATCTTTGAGTCCTGGGCCCTTTGCTGCACGTCAACCCCACTCTCTCCCTTGCTCTGTCTGTAAAGCATAAATGCTTAAAAAAGTCTGCTGTTATTCAAAAAAGTGACAGAATTAGTTGTGTGAATAACACACAACTCATCCCCTAAAACATCATCAGAATGGAGGTTTACAGCACTATTGGTAGATCCCACAAACTTTGATAAAAATATACTGAAGCATCTTGCCCTGCACACCCTGGGCCCCAAAAAGTTTTGTTAACATAGGTGAAACATTCCTGTGCATAGTTATGGGTACCTTGCAGGAACATTCTTCTAACATTCTGGAGAGCCTTAGAGGATACATGTTTTCAGAGAGTAGCCATGACACTATGATGGACCGCTGTCTGAGAACATTCTTGGAGCTAATGAACAAACCAGAATTGTATCAAAGGTTTTTTGAAGGTAACAAGAAACACTCTCAAACATTAGGGGGACATCAGGAAGGTTATGTGTTGGCTGCGTTCCCGTGTTTCTCTCACCTCTTTTCTCAAACTTGGCTTTGTTGCAGACACATAGACACAAGGACCCCCGTGCAAACACACACATACAAACCAGACACATTGCGCATGCTAAAGGCAAAGGACCTGGTTACGCACAATTAGCACTCGGTTATTGTCTTGCCACTTCAGCCGGCTGCACCAGACAGCCTCTCCTAATGGAAGAAGTCAGCTAATCTTCATCAGCCAGGCCCAGGCAGGCCAACTCTGCTCTCCCACATTAAAACCCATTAAAGCGCGAGCAAATCTTTCTTTTTACATTAGGCCAGTTGATGAACTGTTGAATAAAATCGACGCCAGTGTGTTTCACATGGTCCGCTGTGGCCTTGCAAGCACCGTTCAGATGCCCATCACAATTTCACCGGGGCCTGGCCAAGATTTATGGTGTGGCACCGGCTTTAATTGAAGCTGTTCCTCAGCTCTGACTTTTTGTTTTCCATTTTGTTTCTTTACATTGGTAGAGCTGTTAGGGGAGAAATACCTGTGCACGAATATGAACTTAAAGGATCGATCCATTTGCCTTGAATTCATCAGTCCACATGGAGGAATGGCATTGCCCAGAAAGTAGCTGAAATGATAACATATTTCAACCAGGATGTAAACTTTGAAATCAAACTCTGATGAACAAATTAATATTGTTACCCTCTGTCTGTTAACATGAGACTACAGTCAACGGCCTATTATCAAGCTATTGTTTTAAGAGGAACTGTCTTGGAGTTTTATGCTGCTGTAAGACTTAATCTCCAGAGTCATAAATCTAACATTTATGGCGTGCTTTCAAAATCAGTTGGATGTTGCAACAGCTTATTTCTAGATAAACATGGATCTGTGTCAACATACTGAGTTTTGATTATTTTGGGGGTTTCATTTGATTTTTAATAAACAAAATCTTGGCTTTCGGAATATAAAACTTGCAATGCCAAATTCAGACACATTTGTATATTTGTAGAATTTTTAAAGGCATGATGACAAACTAGTAGCTAATACTCAGCTGCACTATCCAACTATCTCTATCTAAACGATGACTGACAAGCGTAACCTCATAGTGACAAGGCAGGGTCCAGGACAGTGGATTTTTATCTGAGTTCAAATAAACAGAGTCTTGACTTTAAGAAAATGAAACCCTTTAAAACCCGCGTGAGCAAGTTCTAAGGCCTGGGTATTCAGCAGAGGGTCTGTAACCCCTAGGGAGTCCTCGGAATTACTGCAAGGAGTGATTGATTGTTTGATAATCTAATTTAAGTTTTATCTATTTCAATTAAAATACATCTGAAAATTCACATATACATAATAAAACATTTAATTTACAATACACAACATATGCTAACTGCTACCCATAAGTCCTTGTGCAATCACATGAACTAACTAATGCTAAATCACTGTGCAGCACTTATCCATAACAGCAAGATGAAAAAGGAAGCTAACATGTAGTACCTTTGAAACATACTGGCCAGTTAGTTATATTATTATTCCCAGTGTATAGACATTCTTGTGAGCCACAGTGGATTGTTGTGTAA